CCTCTGCCGGCCGCGGGATTTGAACCGGCAACCTTCCAGTCACAGGCGCAGATCCTGAGCCACAGAGCCACCGCTCCACCCCTCCCCCACGGCCTGGCACCCCCCTCCCCCCTCAATCAACCACACCATTGCCACTGCTCATTCATCACCTCACTGATCTCTCAACGCAACGGCTTCCACTTTGTCTCGCACAAAATAAATTAAAGTCTTTCCCTTTATTCAGTACAGCTGATTAGAAGTTAATGAGTTTTTTTTTTACAAGCAAGCAGTCTGAATAAAAAAACATGAACAGTAAAGGACATTTAATTGCTTTAACTAAACCACTGTAAATATAATAGAGAAATCTGTCTTTGCCAGTATGCCAATGAATATCAGCACATGCCAGAGACAAGCAAATTCTTGAATTAATATAGTCAAACCACCCCCGAGTTCCATTTTGTAAAATGTTTATACAGTAAGTAGCTAAGGTGGATGTTAATAATGTCACTGAGTTCAGACAATACTTTAAAACCAGTTATAATGACAGTGCTTGCCTTGTGCAAGCAATATGTTATTGCTTAGTCTTTGATAAAAACACACAAGATGTAAAAGCTTAAGTTCTGCCTGACTTTGAATACACTGTGAAGAACTCATAAGTGATGTGATGAAATGGAAATTGTAGTGGTACAGTTATTCAGTTACACAGTGCTAAATTAACAAATGGACATCAAATATTGGAACAAGAGCTGTACTGCAAACCGAGGCATCTTGCCAGAGGAGCCTAGCAAAGGCAATTCTTGAATACCACAGGTACTTGAATACTAAAGAGCACTCATCTCAGCTTCAGCAAGGTGGGGTTTCCACACAGCTCAGGGATAATTTTATCCAGTTCACTGAGCACCCATCACGACAGGGTTACCTGATTTTGCCCGCTGTCTTGTCCACAGACTGCCTTATCTTCGTTGAGAGCTGGGCCACCGATGTCAGCAGCAGGCTGTCCAGCACCGCCTGGGGAGGAGGAAGGCTCACGTCACAGGGGTACGGACCTCTCGTGGCACAGCGGCGCAACCTTCTGCGGGTTGTGTTCACCCCCCCCCCCGCCTGCCTGTGCCCTGTTTCCTGCTCCCCCGACAGCCTGCATGAGCCGGAAGAGTCGCCCCACAAGCCTGCCTCCGATCCCCGAGGAGGCGGACAGGAACCAAAACATGCAGAGTCCCAACCGGACCCAGGACTTAGAGCCGTGGGGCAGCAGAGATATTCACCGTGCCACCATGAGCTGCCAGCTTGCAGCTCCAGCACAGCACAGTGTCAAAGGTGAAAGGGCACGGTGAGCAGTCAGGCCTCTAAAGAGAGTTCTCCGTCATCGTAAAGTGCTTTCGAAGGCTTCAATTCTCCTTTATGTCTGACTGCAGGCTTGAAGTGACACCAGTAGCACTGGGCCCTGCGTGTCCTGCACTGACAGATCAGGGGCTCAGGGGTTTGGCCCAGTGGTCCACTGGCACTTTATAGTGAGAAACGTTTAAAGAGGAAAGTAAAATCTTCTGCAATCTTTACTGCAACTCAATAAGGTGAGTCAGGGTTTCAGAAGATATCCTTTACACCAGGGGTGCCCAACAAGTGGATCTCAATCGACTGTGCTTGCTAGTTGATTGATCAGAAGAAATAAATAAAAATAAATGGCTATTTGACTATTTACTTTTTTTGATAGCCAAAAAATTCATTCAGATCTGTGCATGTAATGTTTCATATAATTTTACTGCCCTTGTGTGTGTTTAACCCTTGGCGAATGGGTTGTAAATGTCTCTTCCCTGAGTGCTGGCTGACACTGGAAAAAAGGCTACAGGAGCTCTGTAAATAAATAAGTGTTGTGTGTGCTACCCAAGACCAGTCTCTTGGTTATTGCTGCACAAACCCCACATTCGCTACATGGCATAGTGGAGAGAAATAGACTGGCCGTGACAAATTCGCCAACAGTTTGATAAGTTTGATTGCCTTTCTGATAGTTGTAGTGTTTGAGCGAAAATGCTGAAGCAAAGAGACCAAAAATTTACCGTTACCACAAGGAATGGGAGCTATTTTTTGTGCTTTCGCATTCAAATCTGCAATGCTAATGTCTATGCGAAAAAGGGAAATATAGAACAACATTTCAAAACTGCACACAAAATGGATGATGTGGACTTTCCCGCTAAAAGTGAGTTACGGAAAAGAAAAGTGGAAAAATTTAAATCTCAACAAGCAGCAGTCGGTTTTCACGAGGCCTAATACAAGAGGGAAAGCAGCAAT